GCTTTCGAAGTTGGAAGTCTTGTTTGTGTCCAAACATATTGATCGCCACGCTCGCTGACAACTTCTGGCTTCCCACCATTGATTCAGAAGAACCATGAAACCACCAAAGTCTGACTACAAACAGCACAAACATGCACATGCGTTTGCACATGTCTGCACAAACATGTTTAAACTTGCGTTCCACTATCTGCTGGGTCTTTCCTGTAGTGCGCAGCTATGGCAAAGAGGCAAAGGAAAATGAAACAACCGCAGCGAGGACCAGAAAGGCAACCTATGAGCAAGATCAAAATTGGATGTGGGTTCAAGAAATGCACCACTGGCATTGACGTCAAGAACAAACCCTTCGAACTAGCTGTGGAAAAGGTAGCTCTGGAACTATGTCGCAACCTACGATCGCATGTCAAGAAAGTCAAATTCTGTTGCCAGCGTCATTTGGGCAAATGCCTTGTCAAGCCAGCTCCTGTAAAAAGGGGGGGCCGGGGGCCTCTAACACCGGAGCAATTGGGATGTCTCTTTGCGACATTGAAACACCAATGTCCATGGGCTGCAGCTTTGATGGTGCTACAGCTGTGTCTGGGTGAACGCGCTGATGCTGCCAGACAGGCTTCCACTACATGGTTCCAAAACATGGCGCCTCATTCCTTGGCCCTGCCTGTTTGCCACATACCACATGTGAATCTGAAGACCACAGAGCGAACCATTCCACTTGACCGGGGCTTCGCTGAGCTACTCTGGGGCTGGATGACCAGTGAACCACTGGAAAGCCAAGGAAAACAATGGCCTTTCCTACATCAAGATCTCAAAAAAGCCGTTGCATCGGGCGCTGCACAGCTTTTGTTCCCGGGCCGTGTGCTTGGAGGGGTGAACAAAAGAGACTTCTCCAAACCTATCACTGAAAAGGCCTATCTCGATGCAATCCACGCAGCGTGCAAGAGCTTGGCGCATGAGCAGAAGCTGGCACAACAGAATGGACAACCTCACCCATGCGAAGACCTGGATCTCACCAAAGTTGGGACTCACTCCATGAAAAAGTCACTGGTGACAATGATGAAATCCAAAAAATTAGCACCAGTATAGTATCAGCAATCACTGGTACCAGTTGCAGGACCCTGGATGAGAACTATGATATTCCAACCCACCAGCGGCAACGCCATGCTTTCAAATCTACCCTCAGCCCTGTCCTTGAAAATTTGGACAAGGCAATGACTAGCACCTGATGTCACCAGCTGCCCAACGCTTTACCCACCAGAGGATGGCCCCACAAAGTGGAGCAATCCTTGGGCGCCACCTTTGAATGCATTCTGCACGATAAAAATGCTTGGGATTTCTGCTCTAATTGCACAGAGAAAACCAAAAGCTTTTCCACATGTAGAAATACTTGCATTGTGTGTGTGTCTGTGTGTGTGATGCAGTACCGACTCACAAAACACGTGTGGGTTCTTTCTTTCTATTTAAAGCACACGATGATGCCCAACACTCCGATGTACGCAGTGCATTCAGCCAGCCGTGGACACAAAGATGACTTCACAGTAGAACACTCCCAGGTCAGGGCTTACTTCTTTTTGAAACTGTTGCGATTCAACACATTGCTTCTCAATCACAGTCCTAGAATATGTGGCCACGGTTCACAGCAGCTGTCCTATGCACGGTCGGTGCCCAGAGCTCAGCGCATCAGAGAGCAGGTCTGGCAGGAAGAACAATGGCAGAAAACAATCGCCTAACATAATCATTGTGCCTGTGAAGAAGAACACAGTTTACCTAACAAACACATCAAAGCTTGAGGTTTGTCGCTTCCATTGGCAGTGGGGAAGATCTAAGAACACAAGCGTCACAAGCTTCAAAAAGCACACGTTTGCACTTTGTTGGTTTCAGTCTGCTACAAGCGCCCAAAACAATATTTGCAATTTTAAGCCAGATAATATTGATACCCATCTCTCTCAGCAAAGACTTGACCATCCCCCCCCAAAAAAAGTCTTGCAGCTATCTGCAATTTGGCCTGCATCATCTTCACAAAAACACCTGGCCACCAAAACTTCGATCCACGATTGAAAAACAATGCCAAATGACCAGAAGAAAGAGAACTCAATTGAAGGAGAAACTGCGCTTCTCTGTTCTTCTCGCACCAGTCTTGACAGCGGTATGATTCTGCTCATGCATCACAATTGTTGGAAGGGAGCATGCACAGGGGCCTACAAGCTGTACAGTGCTGCTAGACATGGTGCAGTCCGTGCTGGTCTGCAGTGGCCTTAAGCAGGAAAAGGCAATGGGCCTGATTCAGCAACCCCAAAGCTTTTGAGAATCAGCTGCATGCCTGCCAACCTACTTCAACCTAGCTCCAGCAAGTTGCTTCACAAAGCAACGCCGTGCGAAGGCTCAATCACCACCTCGCGATGCAATGCCACAACCGGTCGGACAGGCATCAATCCTTGAGGGGCCCACCTCACACACCAGACCAATGAGCACAGGCTGCGTTGCTCCCAGGCGGCAACAGGAAGAAGGCGGGCGGCTGACACTTGGTCAGCAGAAAGCACTTCAGTCCCTTCCTCCCCAGTCTCTGTCTTTGCCTTCAACTGGCCAGTGGGAACAAAGACAAGAGGCACTGTGTTCTTCATCTCAAACATTTCAGGGTCATCCGTGTTGGCTGCCTCTGAGATCTCATAGTAAGCAATCTGGGCGCGGGGGTCCTGCTGTTGTTTTGTGTTGACCATGGTCTTCACATTGGTCAATGTTGCTCCCTGCAAGACCAAGGAATTTGGTCCAATTGCATAGGACACTTCTTTGTCCTTTGCAGTCTCCCCGTGCATCTTCTGCTTGTAACTGCCCTTCCCAAAGCCTGCCACGATGTAGCCAGAAGGCAGCTTGCAAGGCGCAGCACTTGTGTTGATGATGTAGATCTTCTGCCCCAGCTTGATGTGGAGTTTGAGGCCTTTGCACTTCTGGTTGACCATGTCTGTCTCCAGTAAAACGTGCTCAGAACCGATCTCAGCAAGCGGAATCTGCTTGACAGAGCCACCACCACCAAGTTGAACACCCTTCAAGCGTTTGTTGGCAGGGCCATCTCCCTCACCATGCCTCTTTTTCTCCTGCTTGACTCTGCCCTTTCCCTGACCTTTGCCATCACTGGTTTGATCAGCAGCTGGGGGCGCACCATACTCTTCAATGATCTTGTCCATGATTGCACGGAACTCATCCCCAAACACAGGGTGGGCACCCCATTCCTGGCAAAATCTTCAATGGGAAAAAATACAGTAAGAGCTAACAAAGAGTTCCTACACACACCAAATTTTCTTTTCTGAAACATCACAGAAACACAGCAGAACAGTCTTGTCCTTGGTCAACGACTCCGGAATGCCAGGGTAGGTCTTGTTGGTGCCAATTGGCTGCAGGACATTCAAAGTAGGAACAGGAGGCGTCTGGCGCTTGCGCTCCTCAGGCAAATCGGCCTCAACTCGAGGACAGCCAGGAATTGAGATGTCCCCGTTCATGTGCTTCTTGGCCAAAGTTTGTTCACGAGTTCTTGTGAACCATTCACCCACCACAGCATCTTCTGCAAGACCAATGTAGGCACTGGGGATCTGCCAATCACCCTTCACATCCATCCAAGCATCAAAACAGTCTCCAACTGACAATGATGCATCCAGGACAATCACACCGCCCTTGGGAGGAATGTTTGCTCCATCGAGACACGCTTGCAGCATGCGAGCGTAAGCAGAACTTCCCATTTGCTCAAATTTCTTTGCGCCAGAGACCAACCCGTCAAGCAATGCTGGAATTCTTGAAGGCCCAATCCTTCTCGGTGAGGCTCAATGAAGACAATACCCTCCCATGGTAATTGAGAGGGCGGGTGTCACGCGCATCATGCCTGCTCACAAACGGAAGTGTAAACGTTCGATCCACGTGAAGCCCTGCACTGCTTAGCGTCTTTAAGCAGTGATGTTCCTGCATATACAATTGGCCTTTTTGATAGCCGAACAATGGTAGTATCACCACTGCAAGGCTTCGTGTCCCACTGTGAGCATTGCTCACAATGGCAAGGGCTCGAGCTTGCAATTGTTGCCTCTCGTTGTTCACCCGGCATAAGGCAGACCAGTTCAAGAAGGATATAGTGACCTCAAGTATGTGACAAATGTTCATAAAACAAAAAACTGTACAAATTGACATGTCATGTTGTCTGGTCTTTCCTTTCAGCTCACTAAGAACTGAACCACTGCATCCTTGCGCAAACCATAGGCCTTGCAAAACTGGTCCACAAAGTTGTTGTAGTCCTGCATGACAGTGTGCAGCTGGTTGGTGGTGAGCACTTTCACATTGGCGGCCAATAGCTTCTTTGCAGCTGTCACAGAAGCATCGTAAGCATTCTTCCGGTGTGTCAGCTGGGCATGAAACTCTGCTGTTTCATGGCTTTCTAATTTCGAGCGGTAAGCCTTCAGGCATTTCAAATCATACTCAATTCTCTTCTTGAGCAACTCAAAGGCATCTGCCTCGAGGTTGGCAATGTGCACAGATTCAGACCCAGTGTCACCGACTGGCCGGTTGGTCGCATGGCAGTCCATCCTCAAATAGAACAAAACAAAACCCTGCAAAAAAAAGAAAGAAGAAACACTTGTGCAAATCTGCCGGTGCAATTCTTTCCTGTGTCTATGACTTATGATTCTTTCCATTTGTTTTTGATAAAACACTGAGTTTGGCACGCTTCTTTCAGCTTGGACATGGTCCGAACCAGGAACTGAGGATCTTTCTGGCCAAGAGTGCACTGAACTTCCAAAACCAAAGTGGCATCGGCAGCAGCATAGGGATCTAGCCACTTCTCCTTCAAAAGGTCATCTGAAAAGGGAACCTCCGATTGCGCCAACATGCCGGCATTGATGATGAAAGCCGCTTCCTCAGCCTTGGACTCCAACTCATCTTTGGTGAAGGTTCTTCTGGCCCCTGGAGGGCTGCTTTCAAACAGAGCAATGACATGTCGGAAAAGCAACAATGTAGCCTCATCAGACATCTTGCCAAGTTTGGACCAACATCCACCACATTAATGCCTGAACACATAAGTCGGGAGGATGCGCTTTGAGCTGAGGCAATCATCAGAAAAGCAGCTGCTTGCCCATCCAAGCTTTTGAACATGCCCTTCAACCACTGCAAGGGCTTCTGATGGAACAGATTCCAACAAGTTCCGCACTGACACTGCCTTGGCCCCTACAAGTTGCAGGGATTTGTTGGTCCCGGCATTGAACTTCTTGATAATCATAGGCAAATCAACTTCTGCCCCTTGATCTCTCAGCTGCTTGATCGATTGCACCCAAGTCATGATACTTGGCGGCTTCCTCAATGAGCCACGGCTGGATTCCTTGAAGTTGTAGATAAGTTCCTGTTGTTTTGATGCGTGCTCCAACACTTGCACATGAATGCAAGTCATCGACTTGGCCAGCTGGGGATGAACCTGCCCAGGTTGGTGAAATGGTGGTTCAAAAAGTGAGTTCTTGAGACCATTACAACCAACATGAAAAGACATGCAAAACATGATGAAACAGTTTCTTGTCCATTCCAAGCCTTCTTCAGGTCGATTCCATTGTCAAAAACAATGGTGGCGATGGCCAAGAGAGCATGGATGCGCGTTCTCCCTTTGGAAAATCCAACTGAGAATGGCAAAAGCTTGCCAGTCCATGGTGGGTGAACACCTGCAATGTTTGCGCTTTGCAAGGTGTCAGCGCTTTGCATAGCCATGACTGGCTGATTCGTGGACATGAAACCATCGTTCAAGATGCTCTCGGCAATCTCAAGAACAGTGTGGTTGTCAGGCACAGACCTCACACTGCACATTGGTCCAAAACCAAAGGCTGCGAAAGGAAGCTGGATACTTGGAGCGTCCCTCAACTCAGGCGAGCAAGCTGTCAAAGCGGCGGCATCCACCTTCCACTCAGTCCATCCTTCTTGGCACAAGTGATGCAGGCTATTGGCCAACTGCTGCATCTCTCTTGGGGAGCCATGGTGCTGCTGCAGGAAATTGGTTACAGACCCAAAACGGTCCAGCACTTCCTGCAAAGCCTTCAAGACACTTTCTTTGAACGGCTCAATGCCAGTACTGTCCACCTCTGGCAAAACGGCCTCTTCAAAGTGCAGCGTTGCACTGTCAGCTGCTGTGGATTTTGGACTTACTGGCTGGGCAGGCTGCTCAGCTTCATTCAATTTGACCTCTTGTTTCACTTCAAGAGCCATGAGTGGCTTTGATCAAAGCCGTCAACCTGCGAAAATTGCTAACTCCACTTCCCACGCACAAGATTGCGCCCAGGTGTTGCTTGAGACAGCAGGGCCAAAGGAATGTCATGCAACCCTCAAAGATGACAGAAAGAAACAGAACAGCCAAACGATGTAAGCAATCAAAACTTGGAACCTAAGGACCTGACAAAGCCTAAAACAACATCTGAATGTTCCGACACTTTCAAAGCGGAATCCCCAAAGTGCGCTGACGCCTGTGGTAGGTTGTTGTGCCCAAAATTTGCCTGGCAAAGCAGCAAATGGACGTTCAAATCTATCACAAAATCAACTTGCAAACTCATTGCAACATGTGTTTTTGAGTTGCCCTATTGCTTTCATATAAACTCATATTCCACAAACTCACTCAACAACAATGAGGAATTGGTCCACACACACACACTCAAACCAGAAGCTTGTGTGGCATGCTTGCAAAAAACTCAACACGCAATGCCCACCACCAGCCCCTTGCAAACTCTGAACATCCTACAGCTTGCTCAAACAAACTTGCCAAGTTGAACGCCTGACTCCGGATTGGATGGCCTTTGCAAAAGAATCACATCGGCCATGTTCAGCGTTGCCACCTGACATTACACAAGAACAAACTGAAGTACCATCTATTTGGCAGTCATTGCCTTGTGAAACCCTCATACATAAGTTTGGTCTTTTGCGTTGAATTGAAGAGTTTATTGTTTCAAGGCTCCACATGGTAAAACCTACAGATCGGTGCACATCGACGGATCTCAGAATTTCGACGGATCACAACAATCAACGGATCACAAGTTGTCGCCGGATGTCATAAGCCTTCAAAAGCAGCCATGTCACATTTTGGGGTTGCCACATGTAACAAGCAGACATCTGTTGAATAAAACTTTATCACCTTGCTTCTTCCAAGTATTCCTAGAATCCAGCTGTTCCAACCCTCCAAGGACTAGCCACCTGCAAACCTGAAGGATCCAAGGCCCAGCATCAAGATCCAAGGTGATAAAATTTTATCCAGGCGATCTTGGGGGGCATGAACCTTGCACAGGGAAATCTGTTACAGTCTGGCTTCTGATGTTGGTGGCTTGTGTATGTCCGTCGAAAATTGTAAATCCGGTGATACACTAAATCCGACCAAAAGATAATATCCGACAAAAACTATAGATCCGGCGATTGAACACCCCAAATCCCTTTTCCCCCATCGCGCCCACACGTAGCAAGACTTAACAAAAAAGCCTTGCAAGTCTCTAGAAACACTGCACTGAAAGTAGCTATCAAAGGCTTTATGCCAGTGACACAAACTCTTGCTGGGCGCAATCCACCACAGCTTTCACGAGTGGCTTGGGGTAGACCTGCGCCCATTTGCTTAGGCTGTGCCCCTGGTCTGTGCCTTCTATTGGCTGATGCTCGATGCCTTGACTCTTGCAAAGACAAGTCTTTCCATGGAACTCTTGAGCAATTGCCACAGAGTTTGTGAGAAACTTTGTGAGCTTTTGCATTGGCTTACCTGAAGGACTTTTCAAGCCATAACGGCACTGCGCGAAAGAACAAATTCTGCAACCAGGGATTCGCTGACATGCATCAATGATGCTGTCCAGATTCCAGGACGATGCAGTGGATGGGTGCTCTAACAGAAACACCCTTCCTTTCCTGCTCCTGTCAAAGCAAATCTCAATGCAGTAGTCCATGTGCTCAATTGCCACTGCCATTCGCTGTGCCACTTCAACGGGGTCCATTTTCTTGATGTTGCAGTTTCGCTGCATGATGGAGAACATAGTGCACTCTGGACTGAGAGTGGTCAGCCATGGGTCTTGGTCTTCAAGCGCTTGCCATGCTGTTTGTCGATCACCTGGATTGTCAGCATTCCAGCCAAGCGTAAGGTCCCACGATGTTGTAGCAGGTAAGCCTCTGGCTTGGCATTCCACAACAAACCGGGGCGGGGAGAAGAACTCCATCAGCACTTCTTTGCACCCAAGCGGCGTGCAAGAAGGGTTGCTGACAACTGGCAACAGGCCGTGCTTGCGAGGCTTACCCCGATTCCTGACCATGGCCTTTGTCTTGCTCTCATGTGGGGCACTAGCGCCCCACTCCTCACCATCATCATCATCTGGCAACTGAATGATGACTGGTGACTGAGGTTTCTGCTGCTTCTTGACCGGGCCCAGGCTTTTGGCAGTGCTGTCAGTTGAGCCAGCGAACACCAGACTGAGGCAGTTGTCATCACTTGGCAACTGCACCAGGCCCTTAGAGTCAGAGAGACTAACAGGCTCCACCCTGACACAAGCGCTTGCTGGTCGTTTCAATGATTTCTTTTTGCGAGTCACCTGGTTGAATATGTCATCACACAAATCATCAGGCGGCAACTCCATGGCAAACAAAATGCCTCTGTCTGTATGAAGCCAATGTCTGCAGCACAGCCTCTTGGAAACAACCTTTTAAGCCACTAGCAAAACCTCCAACGCTCCAGCCCACACCCTTGCCCTTGCCATTTCCCTGGCCTGGACTTGGTCAAAAAGAAGGTAAGCAGAAAGTGGAAGCAAGAGCCTGCCATTGGCGTGTGCAGTGGTTGTGCTTGGAATTTTGTCCAAACCAACAAAGCCGGGAAACTGAACAGAACACGTGCCATTAGACACATGCACACACACAGACAGTTCATAGTTAGACAAGTGTAGCTATGTTATGAACACCTGTCGTTGAAGGAAACATAAAACCTATTCAACTGTCTTTCCCAAGAGCGCGGTTTCAGCGATCGGTCACTAACAAGTAAAGGTCAAGCTCTAAATTTTGGTGTTTGATCGGATTGAACTGTCAAGTCTCAAGGTTTAGAGATCACATTCCAGATCCATTTGGCATCAATAAAAAACAAACAACTTGTATCCCTTTCTAGATTCAATCTCAAAATCCTTCAAATTGCTGGTTCTGGGGTAACTGGAGCTGGCAGATTCTGAGGTTGGGGGGTGGCAGTCTTGACATGCTGCTGGTTCTGGCGCCTCATCCGATGCCACTTCCTGGTCAGCTCTTGCACGCTCAGGACCAAAAGGTGTACCAGCATGTTCCTCCAGCGTTGCTTTGCAGGCTTTTGGTTGGCCACGTTTGAGTGCTTTTGGGGGCAAAGAGCAGGTTACAAAGAGCTACCTTTATGAAGTTGGGCCAGAACTACAAAATGTATGAACTTGCTTGAAACTCTGAACATCGACAAGTTGGCGGCAAGCTCAACTCCAAAAAAATACAGCTGTTGACATACTTGGGGATTGTTTTTTGAATGACCCAATTGCAGAGCAAGACTCACCTGACAAGAGCATGACCTTGCCTGCCGCCTGCCTCGAGATGGATGCTGGACAAAGGAATCTCCAATCTCCACCTGCCGGCCGTTTTGCAATCAATGAGAGAACATTGCATGTTGGCATTCATAACTGCATTTTACAACAAGACCATCAAAATTTCACTTTCTCTAAAGGTTGAGCCCTTCACACGTTCACCAACTTAAGACACGCAAGGTTTCTGGGATGCCAGGACAGCCAGGCCTTACACCGCTCCACAACCCACATCAAAGGATGCCTGCCAACAAGCAAACCAACAAAACCAAAAAGTCAGGTTTTGAAGACTCTCAAAAACTCAAACGTCAAAGAGACAGACACTCAAAAGTCAGACCCTCTCAAACTCAGACTTCTGCTGCTCTCCCCCCAAAAAAGGTGCCTTTGGAGAAAATCAGAGGCAATGGACGTCCTGAGGAAAGTTGTGGTCTCCAACTGACTGGGGAAAAGCGAAGTCTTGTCTCCAAGGAAAGTTGCACTGTCTTGTCTCCAACTGACTGGCCAACCAGTCCTCCACAGTGGACCAAGGCCAAGCTGTAGCACTCCACCAAGTCCACCTGTCAGGCTTCGTTTGTTTTGACTGGTTTTGTCTTTGTTTGTTTCTGACCCTAACCTGTCTTGTTTTTGTCTATGGATGTTTTTGACTTGTCTTATTTGTCTTTTATTGGTTCTTTAATTGTCTTAGTTTTGTCTTTGTTTGCTTTGACCTGTCTTGTTTTTATCTTTCTTTGTTTTGGAGTTGTCTTGTTTTTGGTCTTTGTTTGCTTTTGACATGTCTTGTGTTTGTCTTTGTTTGTTTTGACCTATCTTGTCTTTGTGTTTGTTTTGTTTTTGATTTGTCGTGGTTTTGTCTTTGTTTGTTTTTGACTGGTCTTGTTTTGTCTTTGTTTGTTAACTTGTCTTGCTTTGATGTGTTCAAATCTGCTTTTTGTTTTCTCGCTGAGCCTAATCACTTTACAGCGTGGTACCTTGGAAGCCACAATGATTCAGAAGTGCCTACCGCCCCCAACTGTACCACCATCAGTGAAAAGGGATTCAAATTTCAAGCCCATCATGATGGCAGCTCTTAAAGCTGTCATGACAGTCGCTTTGATTCTCTCTGGCTGCAAAGCATTAAGGCCCGCAACCAGGTGCAAACCTCTTGCATGTATTGCAGCCTCGCTTGAAGCGGCACTTGGAGCAACCATAGGGAGGTCGGCCCAACATCGCCTGGCTAGCACTTGGCCTGGCCCGCACTGGATTTGGCTCTGCCTCTGCCTCTGATGCCTCTGCGTCACAACCAGCAGGCGGCTCATCCATAGCTGCTGCAGGCCGCTTGTGTGGTCGCCGAGGCACTGACTTCACAGCAGCTGCAGGTCGCTTCACAATTGGCACAGGAGGCAAGTCTGCAAGCGCTAAGTCCTCTGACTCAGCATCTTCATTCACTATTCTTGGAGGAGGCACAGGAACAAATTTAGGGGCCACAGACTGGACAACGACACGTTTGGGAGTGCCTGGGGCAAAGTCTGTCCATGCCAGCCCCTCGCCAACTTCATCCTTCCCTGCGCCAGTGAGGTGTTTGCTGGCATGCAAGCGGTCTGACTTGAGGCACTCAGAGGTGTAAAAGCAAAGTTCTGCAGGCCTGAAAGACATGTTGCGCTCATTCCGGAAACACCACTCACGGAGGTA